GAGTGTGTGTCTGTGTGTGTGTGAGAGTGTGTGTCTGTGTGTGTGTGAGAGTGTCTGTGTGTGTGTGAGAGTGTCTGTGTGTGTCTGTCTGTGTGTGAGAGTGTGTGTCTGTGTGTGTGAGAGTGTGTGTCTGTGTGTGTGAGAGAGAGTGTGTGTGTGTGAGAGTGTGTCTGTGTGTGAGAGTGTGTGATTGTCTGTGTGTGAGAGTGTCTGTGTGTATGTGTGTGTGTGTCTGTGTGTGTGTGTGTGTGAGAGTGTGTGTGTTTCGAGGGCCCTCGTTTCGGCAAAGAAATATACTGATGGAAAACTCTTGTGGCATGCTTGACTTTTTAAAATGTGGCACTTTTTATTATTAATAAAGCCACAGTGAACATAAATACTGTTGTTTATTTTGCTTATTACTTGTAGGCTGTTTCTCCAAATCTAGCTGCCTGACTAGTCCTAAATAACATTTTGTTCATAAATCATTTTAGTCTTAAAATTAGTTTGCAATTTTTATCAATTAAGTATGCAAATGTATATTTGCATTATTTATTAATATTAATTAAATAGTGTTTTATTTATAATTTACATCACACACACTCTGTTTGGCTTTTAGAAGAGACTTTTATTTTAAATGTCATCCTAAGCGTTTTAGAGACTTTTATTCTATTTCGTGTCTTACGTCTTTCTGTTTCCGGCTGCGATCAGACCGTAGAAATGCCTCAAGGTAAACAGAAATTCAAAGCGCAGCGACCAGGAGGAGCTAAAAAGCAACAACACAAACCGAAAGGACTCAAGAAAGGAGGTAAAAACATTGTGTTCTTGAAGAGGGGGGTACTCTGAACGTAAAACTACGCTAATTAGAGATTTATTCTTAGCAGCGTGCCGAGTGAACGCGTTTGCGGCTGTACAGACGCGCATGCGCACTTCAGTTTAATCGGTGTAAAATGAGTTTCTTCAAATCCTCTATTCCAGGAAGGATCATCGCACCCAAAAAAGCTCAAGTGGTCCAACAGCAGAAGCTGAAGAAGGTAAACGTTCAGTCCTCATTTAAAAGCATGCTGTGTTAAATAATAGTGGTTTAATGTGTGTGTGTGTGTGTGTGTGTGTGTGTGTGGTGCAGGGTTTGGAGGTGGCCATCAGGAACAGGATCGAGCAGGAAGTCACACAGAAGGCCAGCACGTCTCTTCATAAGAAACTGAGCGTGCTGAAGACTCCAGCGGGGAAAAGCGGGACATCTGGACCCTCGAACCCAGCTGCCGGATCCTCCAAATCCCGCTGATGACAGCCAGATAATGTAGTGTGCTGTACATCATATAAAATCTAATGCTTACCACTCTCTCTGGACTGACCGTGAAGTTTATGCTTCTTTCTTAAGGTGTTTTCTTGGAGAAAAGAAACACGGTGTGGAAATTATATATGACAAGTCTTACATGTGTGCAACAGGCCATGATATTTTAGATTCTGCTTATTTTTATATAATAAATGGTGATTTTTGTCATGGGCAAGCATTGCTAATATTTTAAATCTGGTTAATTTCATGATCGTATTCTGGTTTTATAGCCCCTTTCCCCCCTTTTTGGGTTTATCTTGTAAACCAGAGCAACTTTTTCCATTGTTAAGCAGCCGCACTCACTTTATTAGACTGCGAGGGTAAAATCCCTGAAGGTTTTCCTGTCGTCAAGGACGTGCTGCTCGTTCTGTGATTGGCTGAGCGCTGTGATTCTCCGCCTGCTTCATTTTCTCGATTGTCTGGCAGCCTTGAGCTTCCAGATCTCTGATTGGCTCTCAGTGTGTATTGATATGGGGGAAGTCGTGGCCTAATTAGAGAGTCGGACTCGTAACCCAAAGGTTGTGGGTTCGAGTCTCGTACCGGCAGGGATTGTAGGTGAGGGGAGGGAATGTACAGCGCTCTCTCCCACCTTCAATACCACGACTGAGGTGCCCTTGAGCACGGCACCGAGCCCCCAACTGCTCCCCGGACGCAAAATGGCTGCCCACTGCTCCGTGTGTGTGTTCACTGCTGTGTGTGTGTGTTCACGGTGTGTGTGTTCATGGCTGTGTGCGTGCACTTTGGATGGGATAAATGCAGAGCACTAATTCCGAGTATGGGTTACCATACTTGGCCACATGTCATGTCACTTTCACTTTGATTGACAGCAAAACACTCCCATTTTGACCCAAGTAACTTTATTAAATCATCCGGTTTAAAGATATAAAGGCACAGTGAGCAATTACAGATGTTTCAAAATGACTAGAATCTATGTCCTACGTGACCGTGGCTCATGCATCTCTACAGATAGCAGGGTAACTAATGGATCTAGTCTAGACCTCAGATACACTGGGTTTAACAGCACAGTGTGCTTCACAGGACTTTAAGAGGCTGCTGACTGAAAGACGAGCGCAGGAAACGTGGGAATGAGTCTTTAGCCATCAGAGAGAAGATCCGTTGCTGAGCCTCATCGAACGTTTGCGCTGTGGGATCCTCCATCAGCCCCGTCAACGCCTCGCGCGTCTCACCGTCCAGATTCACCTGAGAAACACATCATATGAGCTCGTGTATATGAGAGTGAAAACCCTCAAGAACATGTCTGGGTCATATTTTACTTTCAAATCGGAAGAAAGAAATAACACTTCACACTTTAGAAAATGAAGCCTATTTTAGGCCCTTTTTTTTTGCATTATAACATTGCTTTTTATGACATTTAAGCACACTTCTCTCCAAATTCTCATTCTTGTAATAGAATCAAATGTAATTTATAAATGCATCATTTTACAAATTTACATAAAATACATTTGTTTTATTATATTTTTTTAGAATAATACAGTGCATTCTATATACTTCAATTAAAATAATAAGTATATGTAAATGTAATTAAATGTAAATACATTAAAAGAAATATAAATTTGTTTATAATTAAGTAAATTTAAATTAATTTATTACATAAAAATATATATATATTTTTTGTATTGCTAACAAGCCCATTTCTCTCAAAATTCTCATTCTTGTAATATAAAAATGTATATATCTGAAGGAGAAAAAAAAGTAATTTATAAATACATCATTTTACAAATTTACATAATACATTTATTTTTAGTAATTTTTTTGAATAATACAGTGCATTCTATATACTTCAATTAAAATAATTATACATAAGTATATTATGTCAATGTATTTAAATGTAAATTAATACATTTAAAAAATATTAATTTGTTTATAACCGTCAAGAACATGTCTGGGTCATATTTTACTTTCAAATCGGAAGAAAGAAATAACACTTCACACTTTAGAAAATGAAGCCTATTTTAGGCCCTTTTTTTTTTGCATTATAACATTGCTTTTTATGACATTTAAGCACACTTCTCTCCAAATTCTCATTCTTGTAATAGAATCAAATGTAATTTATAAATGCATCATTTTACAAATTTACATAAAATACATTTGTTTTATTATATTTTTTTAGAATAATACAGTGCATTCTATATACTTCAATTAAAATAATAAGTATATGTAAATGTAATTAAATGTAAATACATTAAAAGAAATATAAATTTGTTTATAATTAAGTAAATTTAAATTAATTTATTACATAAAAATATATATATATTTTTTGTATTGCTAACAAGCCCATTTCTCTCAAAATTCTCATTCTTGTAATATAAAAATGTATATATCTGAAGGAGAAAAAAAAGTAATTTATAAATACATCATTTTACAAATTTACATAATACATTTATTTTTAGTAATTTTTTTGAATAATACAGTGCATTCTATATACTTCAATTAAAATAATTATACATAAGTATATTATGTCAATGTATTTAAATGTAAATTAATACATTTAAAAAATATTAATTTGTTTATAATTAAGTACATTTAAATGTAAGTATATTATATATTATAATTTTTTTTTTTATTGCTGCTAATGATGACTTTGGACAAAGTGTGTTTAAATGTAATTAAAATATCTTTTTTATTTTTCCTCCTTGATTTTTGAGTTAAATTCGCGCTTCGTCTCTCACCTCCCGAGGAGCATCAGGGTTGATGAACTGCTTGTAGATGTTGTGGGCTCTCGCCGGCAGTCTGGACCCGGATGCGCTCTTGTACTCTTCACACGCCAGCCAGAACTCCAGGTTCTCCTCGCTGAACTCCGAGCGCAGGAAGCAGCGGAACACCTGAACGCCCGCTGCGGAGACAACGCCGAGATTCAGTGAAGAAAAGAGAAGTGAGGTCAAATCATTAGGAAAGCAGGTCCTCTCACGCTTGCTGTTGAGCAGAGACTCCAAGTCCTGTGGCAGCTTTTCCTCACTCGCTCTGGAGACAAAAATAATAGATGCTTTTAATTTCTTTGTTCAACTTTTACGTCTTAAATAAATACGTAGGGTTCTGTACAATTTAAACTCAATCGATAGCATTTGTGCGATAATATTGATTACCACAAAAATAACTCGGACGCTCCTCTATTCTAGGTTATGGAGGCACTTACAATGGAAATTGATTTAAAAGCAGAAATATGAAGCATATTTTCATAAATTTTTTATAAAAGCATACCATTAACAGTTTACTTGTGTATTATTTGAGTTGGATTCTCACGCTAAACATGGCCAAAACCTCAAAAAGCGAGTTGGACGTACGAGGGAGTATTTCTGTGACGACATACACTCGAAGTTTCAGAAGTTGTTGTTTTTCCCCCGAGTATGGCCCTGTATGACGTCATAAAGGACGGAATTCCTTATATGGGCACGTCTCCCAGTAGAGCGCGCACACAAAGAAGTGTGTGTTTGTTATTTCCCGTCATTTCGGTGACGAATGTTTTATAAACAAGGCCCAGTTCGACGCTGGATTTACAGATGGTTTGATACTGAAAGATGGAGCGGTCCCAGCGATAAAAGATCCCGGTCATGAGTCGGAACCGCAGGCGGTAAGAATAAAACTGCGTCGAATCGTAAGTGCTCGTGACTCTTTAGCTCCGCCCACGGTACGCCTCCAGGAGCTCGGCTGTTTTCGGAGAGAATCGTAAAGCTGTATCTTTCTTTTATAAATCTGATCAAACTAAAGACTCTTTGGAGAAATGAAGGATGCAATACAACTCTATAGGTATTCAAGATTTGCAGAAACTGTGTGTTTTGCCCCCTTTAACATTTACAAATTGGTCCCATTCACTTTGAAGGTAAATGTCTCAAGGTAAAGACACACCATAAAGTTTTAATGATCGTTCTCTGACAATAGTAAAGTCAACACCATAACTATAACGATATCGTTGTAATCACTTTCAAAACGTTTTTGATGAACGTTAAAAACATTGGGAACCAATAAGAATACACTTGACTTTATGGTGTGCGAATCTAGTTAACGTTCTTTGATAATCTTTCTTTTTTAAATTTATTTAATGCATTTTTTTTTTTTAAATGAGGGAAAGTGGAAAATATTTGTTGTGGTAATCAACATTATGCCACAAATTCTTCAGATCAAGCTTAATTTGTACTGAACCCAGAAAACGAGTGTAAATGAGAGCAGTGCACTTGTGTTACCTGTGTTTGTAAACCCAATCCTGCTTTTCGGCCAGGTGGGACAGTTTGACCCTCATGCCCTTTGCCCTGAAACATCAACACAGTTTCACATCCATACACAGTTTAGTGCTCTCTTCCCAAAAGCGCTGATACTCACTTCTCCAGGCATGAGGAGGGGATGGCAGACAGCCCCTTACACATCACACAACGTCTGAATGAACCTCACAGAAGCGATCGGATGTCTCCAGCTCTGCTTGACTCTCTCTGTCTCCTTGTCCTGCTGTTATATAGTGACATTAATCTGATCCTGAGATCATGAAACAACACGGACAGCTGTTGGGTGAGAACACAACACAATGACTGTTCATATCACAAGCTCTAATCATGATTATGGGCTGTATTGACGTTCGTACAGTTGGTGTGGACAGCAGCTGACAGGGGTTTTCATCAGAAAGCGTGTATCTGTGTGTATTTGTGTCGGGAACAGTGAAGGCAACAGGTGTGCAGTAGGTTATCTGTGTGCTGATCTTAGCATGTTCTGTATATCAATTCACAGAATAGCTCGTTTCCAGACACTGTCATTTGTGGAGCTATTATTGATGATCGTAGTGATCGAGAATGCATTTAAAGTGAACATTACTGCGGGAAACTAGCATGAATTTCTGTTTCATAACCAGTTGGAAAACTGAACAAAATAGGAAACGGACACTGTCGGGCTGCACACTGTAAAAAATGACCGTGAATTTAACGGTAAAAGACTGTAAAAATGCTACAGTAAAAACCTGTTAAATGGTTAATGGTAAATTCCCCTACTATATACGGTGAAAAACTGTATTGGACATTACATGTATTGGACATTAATTTTACGGTAGTATACCGTTCTTGGAAGTGAAAAAGACTGTATAATTTACAGTGAATAACCGTATATTGACATTCCCAGAATTCCCTGCGTTACATTTCAAATTTGATGTTTTTTTTATGTTTCTTCTTAGTTTTTTCTTGTCAGTTTTGTATATTAGGGTTGTGTGTTACACCTAATGTTGTTATTTTATGTGTGTTACCGTGATGGTGTTTAGTGTTTGTGTGAACGACACTGTGCACCTTCTGTATATGTTATTATTTAAAAGCTGCTTGTGATGGGCTTTGGTTCATCATGTGACTTTCTCATCACCACCTGCATTGGGTGGTCCAATTATTAGTGTATTATAAAGGTACAAAACAGATTTCAGTACTTCAATACGGTTGGTATATTAACATTATATCAGTTAATGAAA